GGGGGGAATTTAGGAAAGAGGGGGTTGGAAGGAGGGGGGGTGGTGAAATAAGTTACAGGGTTGATCGCGAAGAATCACGCAATCCCTGAGGAAAGAAAAAAAGAAACAAAACCTCAGCAGCGACCAGCTCTGGGCCTGGATTTGAGCAAGTGACAAAAACAGCAGAGGGAAAGAATTCTGAGTGGAGCGGCAGAGCGTGAGCTCTCAAACCACATCCCCACACCACAGGCCGACTGCAGCCTCTGTAACAGAGCCATACTCCCCCCACAGAATGGATCAGATGTAGCATGTGATATCCAGAAGGAGCCGAGATCTCTGATAAATTTAGCGACCGTCTCCAACCAGGAGCAGAGTGTTGTCTGCTCCAGTCATTACAACAGGTTTTTATCACTGCTGCCGTGTGCGGAGTAACTGACGTGTGTGAGTGGCACCACCTGTAATTACACACACGGATATACTGTACTTTACACCAGGGGTGCCAAACATACGGCCTGTGGGCCAAAACTGCCCCGCCACGGGGTCATTGCGGCCAGCTTGATGAGTTTTGAAAAAAATGCCAGATATTCATATTTCATTAAAAATGAATGTTTTCTAATATATTTGAACTTATTTGCATGAAAAACAAAAGGGATAAACATGGACTTATTGTTATTTATTTATGTTGTGATTGTACTGGTCAGTTTGACTGCCCTGCTCTACACTATACTGTACAAATACTGTACGTACTCTTCAGTCAAACGGCGATGATCAGAATTCTAAACAAACGTCGTCACGACACGAATGTGATTTGATTTTATGTGTTTACGGAACTGAACGTCACGTGATTGCGAGCAGTCGCGTTACACCTTAACGTTCCACGGACCACGTTCTCCCGCTCCTGTTTTAATCAGTCTCCGCCTGGTGTTTTGAATCAAGTGTTTGTGGTTCAACATGTGCAGATAGAAGCTGTCTGCCATTAACATCAGGTTTTTGGGTTCCTTTTTTTTTTTTTTCTTTGCTGAGCTGCTCCAGCCGTGTGGAGAAACCAGAGAAGTGCGTCTGTGCTGCTGCACTCTGGTTTGGTGTGAGGCTGTGACATATATGTACTGAGGTAACAAGACGTGTAGTTCAAGTCTCACAAGAGAAGATGAAGGAAGTGAAGAAAAACCAAACAGCAGGCATCTGCCTCGTACATGCTCTACAGGGTGCATTTGTGTGTGTGTGTGTGTGTATGTTGTGGGTGTTTGTGTATCTGTTTTACAGCAGGACCCCCAGATCAAAACCACAACCCACTCTCCCTTCCCATGTCTCCCTCTCTCTCCCTCTCCCTCTCTCTCTCTCCCTCTCTCCTCCCCCTCTCTCATTAAAAACTGCAGGCCCCGGCTTCTAATTAAGTCCCACTTGAAAAGTCTTAAAGTCAGCCTCAGATTGATTCAATTTGCATTTCTGAACAGAGAACACTGCCTAAAAGGATTAATAAATTGGATGAAAAAATGCCTTCATTCTGTGCCGTCAGAGCTTCTAAGACAGCATCCAAAGAGAATTAGCCCATTTCTCCCTCCTCCTACACACACACACACACACACACACACACCACCAAACATCTCTCTGACACATACCCTCGCTTACTTTCCTGCACGTCGCTCTCTTGATGCCAGTAGAGATGGGACGAGTGTATCAGGGCCATGTGTGTGTCTGTGTGTGTATCTGTGTGTCTGTCTCTGTGTGTGTGTGTGTGGTGAGTTACTGCAAAGACCTGTGAAGACGACACACAGGGTGAGACACACAGGGTGACACACACCACACACACACACAGGGAGACTCTCACCACACACACACGCACACACACACACACAGGGTGCCTCTCCCCACACACACACACAGGGTGACTCTCACCACACACACTCAGGCCAGCGTGGTGGAGTCGTGCCATTGGCTCGTCGACACCTCCAGCAACATGTTTGGAACTCCAGAGAGTCACGGAGCCAAACACAGAGGGTTGGTGCGATCAAAAAAAAAAAAGGGCGATTACAACATTTCAGACAGACCCCAGAGTCACACTGCTGCCCCCGGAGGCGAGGGGAGGTGTTAAGGGCGCATTATCATTCCCGTTCACACAGGCTCGGTGTGTCTACGCTGAGGAGAGACTACGCTTTAGTACTGAGCGACTGTGTGTGTGTGTGAGACTGATGTCCATCAGCTGGAGCGTGTCTTCTTCGGGCACTTTGTGCCCTGACAAATTGGCTTCAGTAACGGCCGGAGGACTGTGGTGACGTGGTGGTGTCTGAGTTTGACAACAACTGCAGCTCCAGACACAGACTCACTGCTGACACCACTGTTGTTGTTGTTCATCAACACGTGAAGGTTCTGTCGTCACAGTGGAACGTTGTTCACAACATTACTGGACTTGAATCACAGTCACAGAATTCTAATGTTGTGATTCAACGGCCACAGAGTTTTCTCAGTATTTATGACTTCTTCAATGTTTTAACTATATGAGCATTGACTTATTTTTCTACCTCTTATGTACACACATATATATATATATATATTTCCTGTAGTACTTTTGTAAATATTGTTATATTTGTGTTCTTTGCACAGTCCTTATATTCTAATGTTTCATGTTCACAGTTTTACTGTTTTGTTTACCACAATGTACCAATAGCTCACCATTTATTTTACCTGCACGATTATAACTAAGGCAATTTCCATTTATTTTACCTGCACGATTATAACAAAGGCAGTTTTAATTCTAATTTTAATTCTAATTCCAATTTGTCCACACTGCAGTCCTGACTTCACGATGTTCTGCTTCTGTTTTGTATTTACAGTTTCCTGTTTGCCTGAGATGAAGCTGCAGGTGTGGATGTAGTGAGAATGTCTAGAACAGAAGAAGAAGAAGAAGAAGAAGAAGAAGAAGAAGAAGAAGACAGTGAGTGGTAAGACATACTCACAGTACAGTTCACACTGAGGAAGCAAAAGTAGGAAACTTTAATTGTCCTGCTTTGTGTAAAACAACACTGACCCCTAGTGATATTAGTCAGTATAGTCCAGGAAATATTCGGCCGTCGGTCAGTAAGAACGTGAATTCCTTTATGACCGAATAAAAGACGAGTGACTTAATCGTCAAACGTTGGAGGATAAAGTATGACTCTTTACTTGTCTCGACACCGGACTTTATTGTTGTCCACTTCTGACACGGAGAGGTGAATAAGGATTCACTCCTCTACACTCAGTGATGTAAACACTACGTGTATGTACAGTCGCAGTGAACTGCATCTCTAGAAGGTCTGTGTGTGTGTGTGTGTGTATGTGTGTGTGAGTGAGTGAGTGCGTGTGTGATAAAAGCCCTCCCTCGGTGGACCGCAGCCTCTTTTGATGCCATGAAGGCCGACAAGCGTGAAACAGGTCCAATCAGGCGTGTGGGCGCTGCCAATTAACCCATTTTCACTGTGTGAAACCAAACATAATTGCTCTGAGTGCAGGGGGCCACTGGGCCATGGCCGATCTGCGTAGGCTGCAAAACGGGCATTAGCTGGGCAGCCTGGCGACCACTCACCTCATTTGAAAACTCTTTTTTTAGAGTTTCTTTAAATCACATGGTAACCGCTGCTCCACAGGCGTACCTGTGGTCACGTGACCAAACATTTCACTCCTACCTGGTTGGTCTGATCGCTGGGTGTGTTAGCCCTCCTCCCAATCCTGTCTTTAAAATCTGAACTGGATCCAAATGTTTTGAATTGTTTACTTGTTCGCTATTAATCACAATTATTTGTAATTATTCAATTATTTATACTTAAATTTGTGTTATACTAAATATACAAACATTTAAAATTTACTCTGGCAATGGTACGTTTTCAAAGAAAACATAATAGACTTTGTAATTAATTAATTTTGATTAATCACATTTTCTTCAAAAATTATTTCACATAAAAAGCATTTTTTAAATTCACAAAAATTCAACAAAATATTATTTGTTGATGACATGTCGTCCTGGTGAAGTCAAAGAACATGAATGTTTCTTTTTCATCTGTATTTTTCTTGTACAGATTTTTTTTTTTTATCAGTTGACTATATTCACAGGTCCGTACAAAGTCACAATTTAGATACAGCTATTATAAATTCAACATTTTATCAGCCGTGAACCCAGACTGTTGAAGCTAACGTTAGCTCTGGTGTGTGGTAAACAGTGAAAACATGTGCAGCTGCCAACAGCACCATGGACAGTTCCCCAGTCCGTCACAAGGTCACACACACAGAGTGATCCTCTTGTCACCCTCTCCATCGCCACTCCACCCTGGGCTGATAATGGGCACATTGTGGCAATGAGTTGGCGTAAAACCAAACGTCTTTTATGGCAGGAATTTTCTAAAGTGTTGTTTAGTTGTCCTTTAAAATAAACAAGTTGTTGTACAGGCCCACTACTACACATACGATAATTTATGAACACGTACGACAATTATCGTATACCTGGCCTCACTGGAGCCTTGGCCACAAATCTGTTTTACCACAGTCTTCCTGATGTCTCCACATGCGCAGAAAGATGGGAATGATCCATCGTATGAGGGGGACAGCCAACACAATCGTAGCAGGTTAATCTACGTGACGTCTTTCTCCCGGTTAAATTCAGATAAGAAGCTGTTAATAAGGTTTTTAAAGAATAAAATGAAGAGGTAAATAAAAATCGTGAATTTCCTTAGTATTTTGTAGTCGGAGTTTGCGGGAAATCGTATTTATTTATTTATTTATTGTTAAGTCCCTTAAGGCAGACATAAATCCTTTTTTTTTGTTTGTTTTTACTTTTCGCCGTGCTTGTGAAATAATACTTTTTGGCCAGCAGAGGTCACCGATAGTCTGTGTCTCCATGCTCCCGCTCGTCTGTGTGTACGACTGACTCCCCAACAAGAACATGTTGGCACAACAACACCCCCTCCTCATCGTTTAGGGGGAAAAATGGCGGACAAGCGCTAAATCCACATCAGAAACAAATACACACGTTAAAAAACAAGGTAAACTTCCTCGGTTCCACTGATCAACGCCCAAACTTATGAATACACACATTTATCTCCACGCGAGGCCGCGTTTCAGTGTTCCTAATGTTTGTGTTTATAAGCGGGGCTATGCGCTAGCAGGGTTAGCACCTAAAGCTAGCGCTGCACTGGGCATGTCTGGATGTGCTGTCTGTACGGCTGCGCTGACTGCATGCCCCTCCGTGTCTGACTTAGCTTTTAGGTGTTTTTTTATTTTATTATTTTTCTTTTAATTTGTACGAATTTCATTTCCTTCGTCACGTCGACAGTCGTAAACTACAACCACGCACTTAAACTTACGGTCGTCTTTTAGATATAGCGCCGAAGTCAGGCTTGTTTCCATGTGTTGGTTCTGTGATGTAAATGAAGCTACATTCGTGGCGGCAGCGGTGAAGCCTCTGGTTTTACCATCGAAACGGCGGTAAATTAATGACTATTGTGCATTTTGAGCACTGAACTGGTTTCCAACAGGGGAACCGTGGACCCGCTCAGCCCTCGACTGAACCCCTCCTGTCACTTCCACAAACACGGAAAACTGGGAGCACGTCGCTTTAATTCAGACGCCATCCCCCCCAGTGGAGGAAAAAGGCGCACTTCTATTGAAAAGAAAATCGCCCGGAGAGACGAGAGAAGACGGTTATGAAGTACTGAGGTAGGTCTGTGGATGTCAGCGGTGTAGACTACGGACTGTCAGTAGTCCGTCTGTGTGTACATGCACTTCCTTTATGTTTGTACACGGTCTGTGTAATCTCGCCGATTTAAACCAGTGTGTCTGCGTTAACGGCTCCAAAACACACACGTCTGGTCGATGGTTAACAAGTGTCGCCGTGAACTGTTTTACACTGACGTCATATTCCACATTTATAAAAGGGTTAAAAACCAAACAAAGATACTGAAGTATTTGTTTATTGTCTGCTCAATTCGGTTTTAAATTTACGACCTGATAATTTTGTTGTTTTCGGACGTCACTGGACTGGAACACACACACACACACGTGGCACGTTCATCTTTATGACCTGTTGACCTGTCTGACTTGTAGTGTGGGTTTGTCCACTGTCTGGTTTGGTGGCATTTCATTCACACAAGATGTGTGGTGAAAAGAAACAACCCTTAAAAAAACAGTTAATGTACAATCTACACCTGGTCTGAATACTAGAAACTTGAACCATGTGTGGAGACACACCATGTACCCAGTTAAACAGCTTGTCTGTTGAAGAATGTTGTACTGTACTGGTCCACGACAGCAGCAAGAGGACGGGACCGGCTCGCCCTCGTCAGTGTGTAATATAAGAAAAAAAAAAAAAGAGGGGGGGGGGGGGGGGGGCTCAGTGCCTGGTGGTCCGAGGTTTGGCGACAATACAGACAAATGTAGAGAGTTCCGTTTATGCACAGAAAGCAAATTACAACTGTAATATATATATATGTGTGTGTGTATTTAGAAAATTCTACTATGTTGATGTACTATGAGAGAACTGGTCCATTAGGTTCTGGAACTTATCCTTAAGAAAAGAGCAGGGAACGTTGACTGACGGATGCTGACCATGCTAACTCTCCACAGCTGATGTAGACTTTGCTCAACTGAGAATTCTGGGTAAAATCACGTGTATCCTAAACTTCATTTCTGCAGTTCATGCCGTTCCATTGTTGTGCTGTTCTAACGGTTTGTCGTGGTGTCACGTGACCACCGTCACCTGTGTTCTTCCGTATCTAACACGGCGATGTCTGCTCTGACAGAGGCCTCTCTCACGGATACTTCTGTTCTCTGCTTCTGTTTCTGTGTGTAGAGTGGAGGCAGCTGTAGCGTTATGACCTTGGTCTGTATTATTGCAGCATGAGGAAACATGTACCACAGAAAGGTAAGTGTGGTCGCCGCTACATGCATGGGAGAAAAAAAAAAATCTGCAGCATAAAATTCCTTTACAGTTTAAAGGAGGTCTGTACTCAGAGATCCCGTGTAAATAAAACATCTGGACTGTTTTAAACAACAACAAAAGTTTTTTGTAACCTTGTGTTTTCAAGTGAATTTTTCAAGTTTGGATTAAGTCTTTGTCTGGACTTTAGAGAGCTAGGTTTGGGTCCTTGTTCTGCCCACTTCATCCTAACTTTAATCCTCAACCTTGTTCAAACTCCTGAACCAAAACTCCACTGTATTTTGTTGGAGCTACTAAAGCAAGAACTTTTTAGCTAAGATGTTTTGGCTATGAAAGCAGCAATCACATTTCGGTTTCAATACTCCCACCTGCTGATCTGCCCTTTTCATTTGTATACATTCTGAACCAGAGGTGACTCATTAAAGTCATTAGCTTTCCCTGCTGTCTCTCTACAGAAACAGTTCAATATAATCACATGACTTTTTATTCTTGTCATGCATGAGCTGGAGCACAGTTAGTGACATGTGAGGAAATGGGGGTGTAAGAAATCCATACACTAAAATACTGCAATATTTTGTTTCATGATACCGTTCTCGTCTCCTACAGCTATAGAGTGGAAAGATGCCAAACGGATCAAACAGGCCCGGAGTGGACGCCCCTCCAGGGTTCCCTCACAGTTCCAAGGTGAATGACCTGCGGCACTGGTTTGTGAGGCGACTGCATGCAGTGCCAGAGGTTTAGATCGTTTTTTCTTTTTTACTGAGCATCAAAGTTTTCTTCTCCAGCAGGACACTTCAGTTGGGAGAAATACCTCAGAGAAACCGGCACCGTCGCTGCACCCGCGTCCTGCTTCAGACAGGTGGGCAGAGGAGTCGAGGCCTGAACAATGTCTACCGTCACTTCAACAAAGTACTGTCACTCACCATTCTCCGCCTTCACTGTCTAGAGCGCCACCCCTCCAGTAAATGAGTTCAAGGCCGGGATGAAGCTGGAGGCCCAGGACCCTCGGAACACCACCTCTACCTGCATCGCCACGGTGGTTGGCCTGACGGGCTCAAGGCTGCGGCTGCGTTTGGACGGGTCCGACAACAAGAACGACTTCTGGCGCCTGGTGGACTCCTCGGAGATCCAGCCCATAGGCAGCTGTGAGAAGAAGGGAGGGATGCTGCAGCCACCGCTGGGTCAGTATGTACCAGAGCACGGCTACCAGAAGAACGCTAACTGTAAATGTTGTTGGTGTTTTATAGGGGTGTAAGAAAATATCGATACACTGAAATATCACAATATTTTTGTTCACAATACTGTATCGATATTCTACAGCTCTGAATCGAGTTTTTTATTAACAGTCAAATATTCATGGCTTCATTTTATTTTGCTTTTATTTCTTTTCTGCTGATTACAACTGTAAGTGTAGATTAAATTGTTTAAAAAAATAAAAATCAATATATTGCCGTGCCTGTAGTATCACAATATACCGTATCGTTGCCTGTGTATCGCCAGATTCTTGTCAGTGTGCACACGTGGGGTGTGATTTTACAGTTACTGCCCCGCTCACCTGCAGGAACATTTCCGTATTCTGAGTGTTTTTGGAAACTGCAGTAAAAATTTACAACAGCTCATGTGGTTTTCTTCAGGTTTTCGTCTGAACGCGTCCTCGTGGCCCATGTTCCTTCTGAAAACACTAAACGGAGCGGAGATGGCACCTTCTCGCATTTTTCACAAGGTACCTGAACGAGTTCTCAGCAGCTCCTCAGAGTCAGAGAAGCAGCTGCTGCTCAGGTTTATTTAAAGATCTGATCACAGGTTACAGCCCGCGCTGGGGGGGGCGGAGGGGGTCCACCAGATCTAACAGTTTTCTGAGCCACTTTTATCTGAATTAGAAAATACAGGACCCTCAAACCCACAAACAAACACATTGGTTAACTCCTGTAACACAGAAAGTCCAGAGGTTAGAGCCCAGGCTCCAACCAACCAGTGGTCTTGTTGTAAGCGAAGCCCACTGCACCACCATGCGGTCCACCACAAGTTCCTCTGATTGGTAAAAAAAATCTCATAGTTGTTTCCTACTTATTTGAGGTTGTCCGTCTTGCTGTCGCTCGGCCCTGGGTCTGATGGAACTGTTGATGTTTGGAATGACAGAACTCAGATATTCACACAGCTGTCCCTCTTCCTCCACCCTGTCCCCCAGCAGGAGCCCCCTGCCCCAGAACAGAACTCCTTTCAGGTCGGTATGAAGCTGGAAGCGGTGGACCGGAAAAATCCTCATTTCATCTGTCCGGCAACAGTGGGCGCTCTGCGCGGGGCCGAGGTGCTGGTCACCTTTGACGGCTGGAGAGGAGCCTTCGACTACTACTGCCGCTACGACTCGCGGGACATCTTCCCCGTCGGGTGGTGCGCCCTGACTGGAGACAACCTGCAGCCACCTGGAACCAAAGGTAACGACTGGAGGACATTCACGAGTATACATACAGTATACTGTATATGTGTGTACACATTTACATGTACACAAACATATACAGCAATATCACAGCAGTATATACAGTATATATATATATATAGAGAGAGATACAGTAAAGACAGTATATATATATAGAGAGAGAGATACAGTAAAGTATACGTATAGATATACACAGTATACTGTATGTAATACAGTGTTTGTACAAACCAAACTGTAATATTTATATAACCATATACACAGTATACTGTATGTGATACAGTGTCTGTACAAACCAAACTGTAATATTTAATAGAGTACACAAAATACTTTACAGTTAGTATAGTACATGGAGTACAGTACTTTGGTAAGAAAACAAAGGGTGAGTTCATCTGCACTGCCTGATTTTATACTGTGAGGTTTTCACTCGCCCCCTCTGGCAGAGTGAAGCCATGACGTGTTGGAAAAGAACCCGGTTGAGTTCTGCCCCCTCTACAGGCCTCTCTCTGGCACCCCAGCTGACTGGCTCTGTGAAACACCCAGTCCAGGGTAGAGTTACCACAGGGGCAGAGATGCAGAGCAGAGACAGAGTCTGACAGTGTGTTGTTAAAAGTGGGATTGTTGACGTTGTCAACAGATGGTAGGAGGAGAGTAGAGGAGATCTGAGGGAAGACAATAGGAGGAGCAGCAGCACAAAGGAAGGAGTGGAGGAGAGGAGGAGAGGCTGAAAACTGAGGAGAGCTCCACAGACAGTCGACTTGGAAGAGGACAGGTAAATAAAGACTGAAATGAAAGGAGGAAAAAGGAGGAATAGAGTCTGAGTGGTCAGGTATCGGACTTTGACAGGATGTCCTGCAGTAACAGGAAGCTGACAGTGGTGGTGCTGTGAACCCTTTGAACTCTGCACATGCACAGAGTAGGAAAAAAAAAAGAAATTCAAGTTGCTGCATGTTTGTTTGACACACGGCGCTTAGCACTTAGCATTTGATCAGAACTCTGCGGGCTCTCGGTTTTAAATATTTAATTGTGATTAATCACAAATCATGTTCACAGTTAACTCTCGAATAATACGTTTTTTAAAAATGTACTTTGAGAGGAATGTTTTCCTTCTAGTTCTCTTTTGAACACGGTTGTTGACAAATGGTTGTTTCAAACAGTTTTCTGCTCGTTGTAATGTCAACAATCAATAGGGAATATTCTGCAGAATGACCAAAGAGCAAAGATTATAGCATGTCAGAGAATTTTGGACCATGTATTTGGATGAAAATAGGTTTGTACTCACCGATACTGCGTACTGGTAAAACCAGGTGACCAGAGTCGACCTCAGGTCACAGCTGGACTCATTTGTCTCCTGTGTTTTCTTGTGTTTCGTTCCTGCAGCTGTGTTACCAAAGTCTGTCGGAGGATTGACAGACGGCAGTGTCGAGAGTCAAGCCATGCATCCCAGTCCTTCGGTGGGCCGACCTCCGGGTCAAAGAGGACGGAAGCCAGGGAAAGTAAAGGTCAAAGGTGCCCTTGGTGACAAGGCCTCAGGTTTGGCACCACAAACTGTCCAGTCGAACAAAGAGGCTGGACTTTTCAAGGTCCCCAAGAAACGAGGACCAAAGCCAGGATCAAAGGTGGGAGAATTGTTCAGAAGTGCTGCCAAAAAATGTTCACCGTTTAAAAAGAAACTTTTTTACGAATGATTTAACACTTCACTGTGGAGTCTGTGGAGTTCAGTCTGAGCTCCTCCTGTAAAACTGATGTTAATTGTTTTACTTTTACTCTCAGACTCAGCAGTAAAACCTTTCATGAAGACTTTGAACTTTATTTGATTCATTTCATTCCATTCTTTTTTCTTTTTTTTTTCCTGACAGATGGCCTGGAAAAAGAGAGCGGGTTGGCTGGAAGACTCCATTGCCGTCCCAGGAAGGTCGGTAGCAGGCCCAGGGAGAACGAGGGGCAGGCTGCCCACCAACTCAGCACAGAGACTGGGACAACAGGCCCTCACTCAACCCACAAAGATCCCAAAGAAGAGAGGGCCGAAGCCTGGGAGCAAGGTGTGTGTCATTTCAGCCTGGTTTGGTACAGAGTCAACAGATTCAGTTGAAAGTATTTTTATTTTACAACAGAAAAAGTTAAAGTTGATGTTACATGGCTGTATGACTTTGGATTTACAATTTGTTTGTCATGTCAGCAGAATGTCTCTTATTATTATTTTTATTTGTTTTTGTCTCTATTCAGAGAAAACCACGGCTGGTCCCTAATCCCGTCCCAACGTCTCCCATCAGTAGCACTCCAGAACCTGACACCAGCACCGTGCCCCAGGACAACGCCACCATCCCCAACTCTGCACTCCAGGCTCCCACAGGTATTTAACCCCCCCACCCTCACCCTTCACAATCACTTTGATAACAGTTTTGAGAAAGAGAACATGATGGTTGGTATGTCCTGTCGTTGTAGTTTGCGTCTACCTGAACAAGTACGGGAAGGTGGGGCCCCATTTAGACCAGAGGCGTATCCAGCAGCTCCCAGATCATTTTGGACCGGGCCGAGCCTCCTCCGTGCTGCAGCAGTGCGTCCAGGCCTGTGTGGACTCCGCCCACAGCCAGAGCACCGTCTTTTCTTGTCTTAAACCTGGTCAAGGCGG